CACCTGTAATCCCAGCACTTTGGAAGGCCGAGGCGGGCAGACCACCTGAGGTAAAGATTTCGAGACCAGCTGGCCAATGTAGTGAAAGCCTGTCTCTACTAAAAATAAAAAAAAAAAATTAGCCAGACGTGGTGGCATGCGCCTGTAATCCCAGCTACTCGGGAGGCGAGGCAGAGGTTGCAGTGAGTTGAGATTGTGCCATTGCACTCCAGCCTGGGTGACAAGAGTGAAACTCCATCTCGAAAAAATAAATAAAAGAGTTGTTTGCAGTTTGTGTCTCCAATTTCTCTTATCCCACTTGAACCTTTTCAACGATACTTTTCTCAGCTTTTGATCCATTAAAATGATTCCTATCAAAGTCACCAAAGACTTTGACTATGAAGAAATCCATGGCCACTTCTCAGAACTCACTTATGCAACCTATTAGCAACATTAAACAAAGCTGATCACCCTCCTAAAATACATTATTTTTCTTCCAGGAGACCACATTTCTTACTCTTCATAGATCCATACTCTCTGGCTACTCAGTTTTCTGTGTCTGCTTCTCTCCATCTCCTGATCAACACTGGTGTGACCCAGGGCGTGGTCTGTGAACACATTCCATTTAATATCTCTGCTCCCTCTCCAGAGGATCTCATCTATTCTCTTTAAGTATAATGTGTATGCCGATGAATTCCAAATCCATGTCTCTATCTTGGACCTCCGTTCTGATCTCCCCTTAATGTCTGAAGCCTCTTTAATTTAGCATGTCTAAAACTGAGATCATGATAATTCCTCTTTATCCCTCTGCCACATCCTAGTCTCACAGCCTTCCCTGTCTTAGTAAAGAACAAGTTATCCTTCCATTTGCCCTCATCTTCTGTCACATCTCACACTGAGTCAACCCTTTTATCCCTTCCCTTAGAAGATATCCAGCATTCAGCTTAACTGCTACTACACAGTCTGAATCATCATTAGAAAATACCTAATTAGACTCCATCTCCACATTGTTTCCCTATAGTCCTTCAACATAGCAGCAAAAAGAATCTGCTATCTTTAAATAAGATCATAAAAAAGGATCCTATTAAAGTGTAAGCCAGATTAGGTTAACTTTGGTTAAAACCCACTAATAGTTCCCTTTATAAGTCCATTAACAACCTGGCATCTAGCTCTCTCTGGCCTCCTCCTTTGGTAATGGAGTGGCTCACTCCACTCCAGCCACACTGGCCTCTTTGTTACTCTTCAAATGTGCCAGCAGAGTTCCTCCATCACAGGGTGGTCATCCTTTACTGCTCCCTGTCCCTGGAATGCTTTTTCTTCTGACAACTCGGTGTCCATTTTCTTCAGGGCATTTCTCAAATGTCTTTTTTTTTTTTTTTTTTTTTTTTTTGAGACAGAGTCTCACTCTGTCACCCACCCAGGCTGGACTGCAGTGGCATGATCTCGGCTCACTGCAGCCTCCATCTCCCAGGCTCAAGTGATTCTCATGCATCAGCCTACTGAGTAGCTGGGATTACAGGCATGCAATATGACGCCCAGCTAATTTTTGTATTTTCAGTACAGACAGGGTTTCACCATGTTGGCCAGGCTGGTCTCAAACTCCTGACTTCAAGTAATCTGCCTGCCTTGGCCTCCCAAAGTGATGGGATTACAGGCATGAGCTACCATACCCGGTCAAATGTCATCTCTTCAACGAACTCCTCCCTGACTCCCAATATTTATCCCTGCTTCCTAGATTTATTTCTATGATCAGCATTTAATTGCTCTCTAACATACTATACGGTTGACTTATTTGCCTTATACATCGTCTGCTCCCACTAGGGTTGACCACAGAGGCAGTGATTTTTTTCCCCTATTTTGCTCACTGCTGTTTGTCCAGAACCATGCCTGGCTCACAGAGGTTTCTAAGTAAATACTCCTTGAATGAATAAAAAATGAATGATATGCTGCCATCTTCATTTGTAAATAAAAGACCTTGATGTACTCAGACCAGGAGCATGTGTAAAGACTGGGGCAGTCTAGTCTTACAAGACAACATAGGTACGTCTAAGGGAAGTGAACTAATTCATAAGATATTTTTCAGTCTTTATGCCTTGCTACACACCAAGAAAAAATGGGCAAATTTACTATTTTATAATTTTTAAATATATCTGCCAGAGAGAAAGGGAAGCCTGCTCCCAAAGAAAAGGGTTTGAGTTAGCTGTGCTCTTTGCCAACTGTGTTAGGTACTAAAGAGGAAGGCAGGTCACTTCAACAGGGAGAGAAACTGTTAGGTCTACAGTGGCAGGAGCTTCATCGAACAAACCTCTCACAAACCCACTAACTGTGCCTTATAACAGAGGAGTGGGACAAGGTGGCACCAGGGAAGTCTTACCAATAGTTGAAATGTTAACCTTCTTTCCTACTAGTTGGTAAATAGCTGCCTCCAACCCCATCCCATTACTCTGATTCCTCCTCCAAAATTCTTCAGATTTCTCTATAATCCAGCAAGAAAAGAGTTAAATCCTGCCACCCAAAGTCGGATTTTGTTTCAGAGTCACTAAAGTCAATTCTGACTAAATATTATGATCATCCTGACTAGGGTAGGCATGGGGGTGGATTCTCAATCGTTGTTTGAAATAATTCAAAACAAGGGCCCGCTGCAACAAAAAGGTAAGAAAGAAATGCATCAAGGAATTGGAAGTATTTCAATATTGCTTTGAATAGAATATAAAGGTTAAATAGAAATCTTTCTACTGATAATGTCTTTGTGTTCTAAAACCTTCCCCTGATATCTTATAAGAGTAACAAATTTAGGAAACATCAGAAAAAAAGGCCAAAAGTTCTCCCAAAAGAACATGGCCCCTCACTTTAAAAAAATAATTACCTGCAAATCAAAAGCAGTAGAAGATGTGATTTTATTTCTTGGATTTACTTCTGTAAAGCCCTATTAAAGCCAAGTTCCACTCCTATGGCAGATCTAGTTTACCAGTAAGAATGCAATAGGTGATCAATAAGTGGCAGCTTAATGCATGAAGCAACAGCAGCATTTGATTTTCCTCCCCAGTTCCATGTTTCCCGTGTTTCAGCTGATTGCTTTCATGAGGTGTATAATAAAAATGTGTTCATCATTAGGTCACATTCCTTATCATTGTCACTTATTGGTATTTTCCATGATAAAAGCAGCCATGACATGAATTTCTCAATGAGAGTATCTATTTGGGAGTTAGAGCTCTTATATTTTGGTTATAATAAAGCAGACAGTACAGAATTATAAAAGGGAGGAATATATACAGACTCACAAATTTTTATGAACCTATTCATAACTCAAAGACAGAATAACCACAGACTCATATATTTCATTATTCAGCCTAGAGGTCTTAAAATAAGGTAGCTTTTTGTAAAACAGAGTATTTATATTTTTACAGATAAAGAATTTAAAATTTGTCAAAACAGACATATTTCAGTTTTATAAATGCTAAATTTTTTTCAACAGCATTTATGAAGATAATTGGGGGAAGTGCATATTGAAAAGACAAAGTCATGGACATCAGGGGAAGCATTTATTTTACAACCCTATTCTGCGACATTCACCACCCTTACCATGTTGTGCATGGGTATCATGATGGTAAATGGACATGCATTACTAAAGCTGCAATTTGAATTAAAGCGGCTAAGAAAAAAGACATTGGCTTGGTGCAGTGGCTCACACCTGTAATCCCAGAACATCTGAGGACAGGGATTCAAGACCAGCCTGACTAACATGGTGAAACCCCGTCTCTACTAAAAACATAGAAATTAGCCAGGTAGAGAGGTGTGTGCCTGTAATCCCAGCTACTTGGGAGGCTGAGGCAGAAGAATCGCTTTAACCTGGGAAGTGGAGGTGCAGTGAGCCAAGAGCGCGCCACTGCACTCCAGCCTAGGCAACAAGAGTGAAACTCCATCTCAAAATAAATAAACAAATAAATAAATAAAAATAAAAAGACATTAGACGAAAGTGAACATGATTTCACTAATTGATATGAAGTACAATTATGTGGCCTGTCATAACTGGAACTTACGCTGTTAATAATGCTTAAAACTTACCAAAGTTGAAGACAAAATGTAAATTTAACAATTGGTATAAGTCATGCAAAGGCAAGAGTTTTGAAGAAATAAGAATAGTGAGTTTAGATAATAAGCAACAGATTAATGGACAGAAATGTAAATTTTCTTTTGAAATATAAGTAATATTCATATTAGCATTCAAGGAAATAGCTTTATATATATATTTTTGTTGTCCTATAAGATACAGAAGCAAGAGGTTTTTTTGAAGACTCTTGGAAAATAATTTCAATTACTTAAGAAATTGCCAAGGAAAGTTAAGATAATAAAAATCAAATGTGGAATTATTGTGTGTTAACTAAAACATCACTCAACACAAAACAGAAGAACAACTGGGACTTGAGAAAGAGATGTTCTACACCTACTAAAAAACCTTCTCTTGGGGAGGCAGGGTGAAAGCCTGCAGGAAAAGAAGGGACATTTAAGTTAGAAGACTCTCATATTTCTAAATAGATTGTAGCCAGGAAAACACATGTATACACTGGGATTTACAGAGAATATACATATCTAACATGCAAGACTGGAGAGGCTCCAAACCCAGGAATGACTAATGCTAAAAGCAGCCTTACTAAACTGCCACAGCATTTAAGTAATATACATCATGAGTTTAGAATGCTAAAAAAGTAAATTAAATTAAAAGGGTGGGAAGACCACTGATACCTAAGCAGCAGCATTCTTTTTTTTTTTTTTTTTTTTTGAGACAGAGTTTTGCTCTGTTGCCCAGGCTAGAGTGCAGTGGTACGATCTCAGCTCACTGCAACCTCCGCCTCCCAGGTTCAAACAGTTCTCTGCCTCAGCCTCCTGAGTAGCTGGGATTACAGGCGCCCACCACCATGCCCGGCTAATTTTTTGTATTTTTAGTAGAGATGTGGTTTCACCATCTTGGCCAGGCTGATCTTGAACTCCTGACCTTGTGATCCACCCACCTTGTCCTCCCAAAGTGTTGAGATTACAGGCGTGAGCCACTGTGCCTGGCCAGCAGCAGCATTCTTAAGCTATATTTTCTTCTGTGCACTTCAGGAGTATGCTCCAAATAGTCTCCCAATAGCTCTGCTCTTGCATTCATCACAGCTAAACTACCCACTCTTTCTGAATGTGAATTTGTCCAGTTGGAGAGAGGCTTACAGGGAGTTTGCAAGGTAGAAGGCAGCCCATTACAATGATTCCCAAAGAAATGGGTTTTGGAGTCAATACAAGCGGTTGAACCAGAAAGCTTGCCATTTATTGTCTCTGTGACCTTCAGTCTCCTCATTCACGAAAAGGAAAAGTAACAGCACCTATGTCAAAAGGGGCTGGGATGCTTAAATGAAATGTTATACGTAAAATACATAGCACAGTCCCTAGCATACAATACATGCTTCATAACCGTTAGCTGATATTATTACATCTAATTTGTCTATTTTAAAGTACATGAAAATGTTCTGCAAATAATGTAAGAATTATAATTATGTAGATGTTGGAGTAAAAAGTATAGGTAAAAAGAGGTATTTACTTTAAGATTGTACTCTCTGGTGACTGCGTTGGTAACAGTCCTATTGGAATCAGTCTCAGTAATAATTAACCTTAAAGCTCAACAGTGCCCAGCGTTCAGGAACCGATGCTTAGTCTACTGTATAAACATTCACTGTGGGTCTAAAAATCTCCACCTTTAAGTCAACTCAGGTCTCTTCAACATACTTTAAAGGACTTTAATAAAAGTTAAATATTTAACACTACTTTGTTGAATCAGTGAATTCATGGATGTGTGTTACAGTACATACATTTGAAATGTCTCATAAGCAAATTCAATGTGAAAAATTAAAGAACTATTTATAACTCTCTTCAGCTTTTACTACCAACAAACCTTTTCTTTGTTCAAATTATGACTACATTTTAAAAAGTGGTAGACATTAAAATTTATTAAGTCTAAAGGCTTTACAAAACGAGAAAACACAGAGGTTTCTACTTACTAGGGGAAACTGCTTTGGTTAATCATTAGCGATGTTCAATTATTTACTTTAGTTAGAGTCACTGATAAGTCTGCTTGCCATTAATGAAAACTGCACTTCTAACAGGAATGCACATCACCAAATTTTATGGTCTGTAAAAAGGAAAATACCACAAGGAGAAACAGAATCTACTAATAAAGTGGTAAGGTCAGGTTGAAAACCATGCCAGTTTGTTAATCCCCCAGAATTCACACCCAGATCAGAATTCTGATTCAAAATTGAACTAAATTTAGCTGAAGAAAATAGAATCAAATGGCATTCAAGAGATTTACTGAATACCTGCTCTGTACTAGTTATTAGATCACTTATTAATCATAGTTGAATTATAAAATGTGGGTCACTGAAATCGAAGTATCCTGGATTAAAGAGTTAAATGCAAAGGGAGTGCTCCAGGTGGCGACGGGGCCGAGTTCACCAGCGGCCGGGGCAGTAGTCAAAGGCCCAGCACGTCCTGGGTGCCGTGGTGCGGGCAGTGAACGCGCGCCGGGCCGGATGGGCCCACGCCGGGCACCAGAACCGTACCGGACTCCATTCCCGTTGTTAGGGCTTCAGGTCGACCCCAGCACTGGGCTGCTCATCGCTGCAGGCGGAAGAGGCGCCGCCAAGGCAGGCATAAAGAATGGCGTGCACCTTCTGCAGCTAGAGCGGATTAATGGGCGCTTGAGTGCCTCCTTGCTGCACTCCCATGACACAGAGACACGGGTCACCATGAACTTGGCACTGGCTGGTGACATCCTTGCTGCAGGGCAGGATGCCCACTGTCAGCTCCTGCGCTTCCAGGCCCATCAACAGAAGGTCAACAAGGCAGAGAAGGCAGGTTCCAAGAAGCAGGGGCCTCGACAAAGGAAGGGAGCAGCCCCAGCAGAGAAGAAATGTGGCGCGGAAACCCAGCACGAGGGGCTAGAACTCAGGGTAGAGAATTTGCAGGCAGTGCAGACAGACTTCAGCTCTGATCCACTGCAGAAAGTTGTGTGCTTCAACCACGATAATACCCTGCTTGCCACTGGAGGGACAGATGGCTACGTTCGTGTCTGGAAGGTACCAGGGCTGGAGAAGGTTCTGGAGTTCAAAGCCCACGAAGGGGAGATTGAAGACCTGGCTTTAGGGCCTGATGTCAAGTTGGTAACCGTGGGACAGGACCTTAAGGCCTCTGTGTGGCAGAAGGATCAGCTGGTGACACAGGTGCACTGGCAAGAGAATGGACCCACTATTTCCAGCACACCTTACCATTATCAGGCCTGCAGGTTTGGGCAGGCTCCAGACCAGCCTGCTGGGCTGTGACTCTTCACAGTGCAAATTCCCCACAAGCGCCTGCGCCAGCCCGCTCCCTGCTACCTCACAGCCTGGCATGGCTCCAACTTCTTGCCCCTTCGCACCAAGTCCTGTGGCCATGAAGTCATCTCCTGCCTCAATGTCAGTGAGTCTGGCACCTTCCTAGGCCTGGGCATGGTCACTGGCTCTGTTGCCATCTACATAGCTTTCTCTCTCCAGTGCCTGTACTACGTGAGGGAGGCCCATGGCATTGTGGTGACAGATGTGGCCTTTCTACCTGAGAAGGGTCGTGGTCCAGAGCTCCTTGGGTCCCATGAAACTGCCCGGTTCTCTGTGGCTGTGGACAGTCATTGCCAGCTGCATCTGCTGCCTTCATTGCAGAGTGTTCCTGTGAGGCTCCTGCTCCTGCTGTGTGTCGGGCTTATCGTTGTGACCACCCTGCTGCTCCAGAGTGTCTTTCCAGGTTTTCTTTAGCTTCCCTGCTTCCTGGGAATCAGGAGCCTGGACACTGCCATCTCTAGAGCAGAGTGGAGGCCTGGACTCCCTTTGCTCACTCCATTCAGGTCCACAGCTGAGGTTACCTCTGATAAGATGAATGGGCACTACCTGCCCTTCTAGTGAAAAGGCTTGGTCGTGGCCCTGCGTGACTCTGGGTGCCAGGAACCCTGCCTTCATCATCTGTGGATCCATCCAGAACAGCGGTGTCTGAAGCCCAGGCCATACTCCCTGCCTCCTGCCTTCTGCCTACTAGAGGCTTGAGAGTTGAGTTTATCCTTTCTCTAGAAACATGTGAAGATGCCCAAGAGCCTGGAGGCACTGCTGTCCTTCCTGCAGAAACAGTTTCTCCTCCTCCCCTCACAGCCTTGTGGCCAGTTCCTCTTCACATGAAGCCCCTGGCATTTGCTAGGGGAAGGGACTGGCCTGGTACTTGCTGTTAGGGCAGGAAGGAGCAAAAGGAAGACTTGGGTAGTAATCTGGGGATTCAGATGGGTAGCACTAAGCCAGCCGGCCTAAAGATGTAATAAGTTCCTAGATAGTCTACCCTAATCTCGAGGAAAGGAAAAATGAACCTCAGCCCACTAGGCAGGAAAAGTTGATATTTAACAAACAAGGAAAGAGTGAACTGAGACCCCCCCCCAAAAAAAAAGAGTTAAATGAAAGAATACACACGGAAAATAAAAACACTCAATTAGGAGATAGAAACATAGAAGCCCAACTTCAATAATTTTGTTAAATGTTTCTAATAGAATCTGTTGGTTCTGTTTATAATATGATTTTCACAGGTGGAAAAGGGTGGGGTTAGTGGAGAGAATGTAAACAATACCTTGAAATTGTCTGAAAACTCATGTTTTCTTTTTCAAGGGACAGACTCACATTATTCTTCTCTAACCTGGACATTCCCAATAAACACTATTAAATAGTATAAAGTATCTTATAAATTGACATTAATTTATGATATTTGCTATTGTATCCCAATAACTGAACTTTTCATATATCTGAAGGTCAAGTTTTAACGCTTAACTCTTCATGGAAGAATGCAAAAACAATTTTACAACTTAGACAAGCAAGTCAATTTTAAGTGTCATTATTATACATATTATTGTTACACTATAATAAATGTAATTTAGAAGTACGAGGTCTTGTTTTGAATTCGCAAAATAAGCTGTTTTTATCACAGTTAAATCAGTTTTATGGTTGATGTGATAAAATTAGCTCAATCTCATAAGACACAAATAATGTATATAATGATGAGGAAAAAAATCAGTAAATCTCAAATAAAAGTCGCCTCATAGAAGTTTTGGTGTCCATTATTATATGTGTATCGTTTTTACACCTGTATATACATAATGCACATAGATACACACACACACACGCATGCAAATTTTGGCTTGCATTGTATGAAAGCATACATGCCAGTTTCTTCATTATATTATTGTGATTTGTAAAAATAAAATGTTATCTTTTGGTGGGGTGGGGGAAGTTTATTTCTGATATCCTGTATCTCCCTGTTCTACACCCTTTTCCTCTTTGGATGGCACTTCCTCCCAACTCCTGAAAATCTAGAGCTTATACATTCTAGTTTTTTATTCTCTATAGAAACCTGTTTTAAGATTTTTCACTGATGGCATAGGAAATCTTAGCCTGCCTAGGTTTTGTAGATTAAGAAAAGTTGTGTAACATCAAAGTGAAGGGGTATAAGGAATAGAGGTGGTATGTCAGATCTCAGACAACTGTAATAACGAGAGGAGAAATAGGACAGCAGTACCAGGGTCTGGAGCTCTTACGTCTACACTAGGCCAGCTATCACTATGTGGACAATTTTAATGCTGCTCCTACCAATCTGCTCAAATAAATACTATAAGACCAAGCAATGAGGTTACAGCTAGGTTCACTTATATGTGATCTAAATACCACCACCAACAGTAACTTGTCCCTTTTTGGTTACTAAAATTAAACCCATTTAGGGGATTCTGAGTGGCCAAGCTTGCCACTAGATTTCTCTTAAAGTCATCTACTTTAAAACTCATCATTAGTCAATGGTAACATTTGTATCCCATGGTTAACAAACTCATTAACCTAAGCATGTCTTCATCAATCATCAAGTCTTCTACTTCTTTTTAGTAATTTTAATACCTATGCAATTGTGTTAACTTTTGTGTTACAGTCAGGAGTTTGGGAAGAAAGATGTCAGTCAATGTTTTATTTTGTTATTGTACTTTAAGTTTCCGAAATCCTCAGAGGAGTAATGCCAGAATTAGACACCATGATCTCGTTAATGTCGATCAAACCAAAACAAGCACATTCATCTGTTAGAGGTCAATTTTAAAAAAATAGCAAAATAGCATAATTTTGTAATACTAGAGTTGGAAGAGACTTTGGGAAATTTAATTACACAACCTTATTCTACAGAGGAGAAAACTAAGTCATAGAGAAGTTCAGCGAAGGTGAAGGAAAAAAAATTACAACAGCAAAGAAAAAGATAATAGACCTATTAGTAGAATTCAAGATTCTCTCTCTCGAGCCAGGTCAGGACTTCTTCTTTCCAGCCCTTCTCTAGGCACAACAGAAAGAAAACACACACACACTAAAAATTCCCATGTTATCCCCCTGTAGGTTTTTTCCCTTTGTCTTCCTGAGGCAATCTGTGCTTTCATCAACCCTATGATACTTTGATAAAGTACATAAACTAAGTCTTATTCGTGATAATCCTTTGCATATAGCATTTAGTAAAAGCCCAGTGATGAGGGTCTAGCTCAATGGTACATCTTGGATGAAAAAAAACCAGGATGAACCACCAGAAAGCAGAGCTCAGGATCAAGTTTAAAAGACAGGGAATGGTGGTAACCATGATTCTCTGTGATCACAGTGATCACAGATCCTCCTAGCCACAGGGTAGGCGAATGTGAATAATCTAGAAGTTAACCGAGTTTAGGACCTATACCAGAGTGAAGCTACAGTCAATCAAACAAACTGGGGCCAAGTCAGTTCATCCAGAAAGGGAATTAAGGTTGGGAGCAGGCTTATCCCAGTGACACCATAAGGTTATCACTGTGGTTCCAGGAAAGAGGCCTGCTTCTATCTGCCCTGGCCTCTGTTAACACATGCTGGTTACTAGAGAAAGGCAAATCTCCCCATGAGGTCGCAAACATCACAGAGGTACAGAGACTAAGTAAACTTCACACTGGTAAAGTAAGCCTCCTAACACTAATTATTTTCAATAGTATTTTATTAACTCAGCCTGTTATTTCAGAGAGGTACGATTTTTTATATACTAACAGATAAGAACGAGAAATCCACATTAATTCCACAAATGACCTACTGCTCTATGAATAATATATTTTTCCTTAAAGTTTAACAAGTCATTGATTCCTCATAATTCATAGTTCTTTACTTTTAGGCCAGAGGTAGTATTGTCAGAAACCTAAAATGGAATGGCCCAGAGGGTTGTCATAAGGATTAAATAAGTAATGTTCTTAGAGCCTTGTCTGAAACATTAGTAAGCATTATATAAGCATTCACCATTGCTTTTATTATTGTGATTATGATCCTTTGAAAATCTGATGAAAACTACAGTGGCAAAGTATGTATTACATCTAGGAAAGCCTTAAAAAGGGGAGCAGATTAAATATTATACTGTGTTGGTACATTTCTCTACTGAATGAAACCAATCATATTTTTGGAAGTACAGACAGCTGTATTCTGTACAGCAAACTGCAAATGCCATGGTAACCACTGTTCCTAGGCAATTGTAGAATTATGCGTGTGGTCCACTTTCTATATAATAAATATAAGAGGAAAATGGAGGGGAAAATAAACTGTGACAACCTGTGTAAAAATCTAAAAAGGGATGTGTTTCTTAAAAATTGCAAATACATACTCTGTTAAAACAGAGGGTACAACCTTACATACTCTGTGTAAAATCACTAAGATTAAAATGAAGTAAAAGAGCAAAATATGTACCTGTACATTTGATAAGTATATGACAATATGTCATCTTATCTGCTTATAAACCATGATATACATTAGAATATGAAATTGGGTAAAAGATGAATAATGTAAAACATTTAAAAAGTTAAGTCAGTTATTTTAAAACTAACACTCTAGGTATTAAATTTCACTTGCATAATACTAGATGGCAAAGAGTTTCCATTTCTCAATAGTTGAGTGTTTGTCTGGACAAAGCAGGATGCAAAATGAGACAAAATAAAATGCCCAATGAAGATCACTTCTTACAGTGTTTCCAGCCACAATGTAATGTCCGAAACAAAATGATGTGCCATGCCCATAGCCAGGGGAAAAATTGATTGCTGTTGTATATTCATCATTCCAAGCGGCAGTCACACCAAATGTGCCAAATGAAAAATTCTCCAAAAGGTTCTGCGAATTCTATGGGTCAAGATTACTCAATGCTTTTTCCTGACTCTTCTTCCACTTATTCAAATGTAAAATCAGTTTATGAGGCTAATTTGTCAATAAGACCAGAACATCCTTTGGCCATTGATTTTATTAAATGTTCTCTTCATAAACTCTTGGTCAGCAGATACGGTGCAGAAACTAGATTTCTGAACTTAGATTTATCTGAGAATTCTAAGTCACTTTCAATTTAAGTCAATGTAATTGAATTTCTGACTTCCCATTTCACAAATGACAATCTTATTGTAAATGACTATGTACATTTTATATAAGAATATATGTTATATGGGTCATACAAATAAAGCATTATCTATTACATGTCTTGTTACACAAATGGCATTTCAAATCATCAGGAAAAATCATATTTAAAAAATGCTCAAAAACTACCAAGAAATACTGCCAGAAAATTTTTAATGGGAAAGTTTTCTTTTCAAATGAACATTTTCATAGAGGATGGTATATTCACCTTTATAGGAAAAATGACATGAGACTTGAAATAATGTGAAAGAGGGTGCAGAGAAATTTAGGGATATGAAAGGATACTGCAGCAATAATAGTAAAATATGTGTTCTTCAAAATGTATTCTTTAGATGGAAAAAATAATTTTAGATGCAGAAATATTCTAAGAAAGGTTAGGTTAAATCATTTGCTAACTTGGATCTTTGCTATCTCTGCTAACTTTGAATAGTCTTTGGAAACGGCACAATTAGTTTGTTAAAATTAGCTCAGCAAATCAACAGTCTTTTATGTGAGCATTTTCAGTATGAGCTCTGAAAAACTCACCATCCATATACTTTAATTTGCTAATATTGAGAAATATCTTAGAAGAATGAGGCAAATTATTAAATATAGACAGCCAAAAAGTATAAAATAAACGTGGTTGACAAAATTTTTCCTAAGCTACAGATTTACTGACATCAGTAAACCTTGACTAAGGCAAACATAGTTTCTGTGGCTCTTAAAAGAACAATAAAATGCATTAAAAACTCAAAATGAATAAAATTGCTAATTACAAAATCCCTTTGTCATGTGTTACTGACATTTATCTCTCTAGCTTTATTTACCCACATGAAGAAGCATTTTCTATTTCTCATGCGATGTAACTATTTTCAGTATTTTCTTTCTGCTTTATTAAAAGGTGCTTTGGAGGAAAAAAGTGGAAAAATTAGAATGCTGTACTTCTGTCAAACAGCGCACCCTTGTGGTTTATTTTGTATCC